AATTATTTTGAAAATTGTGTCAGCCAAAAAACCACTTGTATATAAGGATGAAAAAAAACAGTTTTTAACACTTTTTTGCCGATTTAAAACGGGTGATGATTAAAAGTCCGAATAGTTAAATTTGTTTTTAAATATATTAAGAACATAATCATCACCCGTTTTTAATTATATAATAAAAACATTTTCTATCCCTACCTATATGGCGTTCATGCAAGGGAACAAAGTCCAAAATTATACGGCACAACTGTCACTCATCATCTATCTAATGCAAAGTGATTGCAAGAAAAGCTTGGTTTGTACATGCGGACCATATATCGGTCGTGATTGACACCTTATGTCCAAAACTTTTAAAAAAATTACACAGTTGCCTACGCTCTCTTTCATACAAATGCTAAATATGGACCGAAATCGTTTGCCTACAAGGAAGTCTGTAGCGGGGTCGAGTTCAAAAACAAATATTTGAAGATCCTCATCTTCAACTACACAAAATGGTTGTTGATTACAAACGATCTATTGAATCAGAAGCCTATTTAATTTTTTTACTTTTTTTTCATTACGAGCACCGTAATATTCAACAGCTCACAGGATAATACCTGAAGCAATTAATAGTATTCAGATTTATAGGTGCTTTCAAAGTGTTGTTTGATTGTACTAATACCGGATCTAGTACTATATTTTGTTTTAGAGCACAGACTGCAAAGAATAAATTTTTTATCTGGAGCTAGTTTGAAGTAATTTCAGATAGGATGTGCATTTTTACCATGTTTAAAAAATTTGTTCTTCAGCGTTGGTTTTATTATTGAAATTAGTATTTAATTCAATTACAAAATTTTCATCTGGACAAGGAAGTGTATCAGAGGTAGATGCAAAATTTTGTAAATTATTATTAAAAGACATAATGCAACTAATAAAATCTTGTGAGATCTCAGCTTTTTGTTTAAAGCAACACTTTTATACTCGCGAAAATTAAAAAAAAAAAACTTTATAAAACAAAGATAGAATATTTGGATTTAATACAGTTTTATTAGGATATTTACAATAAAAGAAATTAACAACAAAAGGCACAATAAAGAAAAACAATTGTCATGAGAAAAATTTAGACTAATATTATTATAGCCTGATGTAATTATAACACGATCATTCACTAGATACAACAAAAGAAATTAGCAACAAAAGACATGGTAGAAAAAAACAATTGTCCTAAGCGAAATTTAGACTAATATTATTATAGCCTGATGTAATTATAACACGATCATTCAAACAATTACTAGTAAATAGATTACTCCAATTTTATGATAGTAGCGATAATCAACATTGTGTTTTGTTAGTATCACTTTATAATAATAAATGATGTCTTTATTTGTTCTTTTAATTTCTATACTGCATGAATTATGAGATGAATAATTGTCATTGATCTAAAAATTTTTAAATATAGCCTGATATAATTAGCCAATTATTGATCGAAATTGATCAAATGATAAAAAACTATCAGTACTTACCAATGCTATAATATTACTAAGCAATTATTGATCAAAAAGCGAAAGGAAACTGTAATAAAAGCCTTTGGTACTTACTAATTCTGTTATAACTATCAGGCTATTATTGATCGAAAGCGAAAGAAAGTAATTAACTAATTTAATTCTCCAATGGAAATTACCCAATCGGCGAATTTTAAATTGGAACATTTAAAGTATCACCACTTAAAGAATACCATTCTTGATTTCTTATTTATTGAATTTTATTTAATGTGTCAAAAATGACACTCTATTTATATCATGTGAAGTATCATGTGATGTATGGACTGGTTTTGGACTAGTTCTGAGCTAGTCCCTAAAAAGTCCGGTCCAAACCCGGTCCGAACCCGTTCCCCGTGGACCATTTAACATCCCTATTTATTAATTTATCGTTGGGTCCGTATTATTTCATCGACGATCCAAATAACTTCACGTAATGTATCGTTGTTACACAATATATATATTAACGTTTATGTAATGTATATTTTACATGCTTAATAAGTTTGTAGATTATGTACAGCTAAAGAAGTTAAAGAATAATAAACTTAAAGTATATGGACTAACTCAAAACACTGCCACAAATGAATATATGTTAGTATTTGATGAATTTGATTCTAAAAGATCTAAATATAATGGAACATGCGCAAATTGCAACCGAAATAACACATCTAAAGCATGGTGTCAAACATGTGACCCTCAGAAGACTACACAAGGATGGACAAGTGGAAACAAAGATGTCGATGATTGCATTAAGGAATTTCAGTTTAAAGCTACGGAATACGAAGATGTAATCGAATGGATTCCTTTTAATAGATTAGTTAATGTTCAAATGATTGGTAAAGGAGGATTTGGTTCTGTATTTTCCGCAACGTGGTTAGATGGTAAAAGAATAATTTCAGGCACTTATGGTAAATTTATACAATCACGTACACCATCATGTGTAGTTGCCCTTAAAACTTTACCTGGCTAACGAAAGAATTTCCTAAGAGAAGTATGTTAAAATGATTTATTTATGATCTAATATAAACAAATTATAGATAAACTATTAACATTATAAATTTTATTTTATTTAATTAGTTTAAAAATTACACGGAATTTAGATTAGTGGGTAATAATCTTGAAGTGTATGGACTAACTCAAGACACAACTAAT